GGTAGGAAAACAGAATATTGCGAATTATGTAATGGTAAAAAGAAACATTGGCATTGTTTACATAAAGAGCAGACAAAGAAAAGGCAGCGAACTTTTCCGAAGAGCTAACGATGAGAGTGGATTAGAAGACATTTCACTGATAGAAAAATAATGTGCTCAGTTTTGTAAAAGCGGGGTCAACAATAAGGGATTGGAATGGAGATTAGTCTTGCACTACCACACCAGAAGGGACAGATGAATACTGGGGGAAAAAAGTTTTATGTTAAGCTTCGAACTATTTCCGGGTTGGGTAATTTGACAGAGAATTCACACTTCCTGACAAAATGCTCGAAAGAGGACTGTTGGAATTTTTGACACGACGGAGTTCAGGCTTTTCAAGTAACGATACAAAACGATCTCAGAACCCCGCAGGAACAATTTAAACATCTGCATTTGAAAGATCAAGAAGTGAGTTTCAGAAAATCATTAGTTAAGAAAACAGCACAATACGAATTAAAAAGCGGAGTGAGATAAAGCATAGAAATAAATAGTCCGTGGATGATACAAGCTGAACCCGTTTGTTCAGATCTCTCGACAGCGGCATCCAGCTAGGATAGAAAATAGCAACTCCATCAGAAAAATTGTTGTAATATCAGTAGAACAGACTTCTCGTCATCTGCCCTCGTCTCCAGAGCGTAAGAGTGTGCATGACTAACGTTGTAGGATAAACCGTGCAAGAGACTTACTCTTCGTAAGACGGACAGAATTTCTGTGAAAGTCTTGCAAATAACGGGCGACGAACAAGACGTAGGCAAAGGGACAGACAAACAAAAAGACAAATAAAATAGAAGTGGTTGCTACCCTATCTTAATCATTGACCTGCTAAATATTCTGTGAACCTCATCATGCATTGCTGTGCAAATGGTGATGCGAACTTCATCATAAAGATCGATCAACCGCAGTTAACGGGTAATTCGGCCACACCCACCGATTATTAACGCATTGATCTATGATAGCGCTTAGTGGAGCACCGCACACATTATTTCACCTAGACAATATTATCCACAATCGATAAGAAATATACATCGTTAAGCATAGGTCAAACCAGGTGAGGTTGACGAAGCTGTCTGCTAGCTTGCGTGCAGCTACCTTCAGTAAGGCAATCGATACTGTCACATTGTGGAGCACATTTCACGTCCGGTTGTCTGCGCTCAACAATGAGCGCTGTGAGCGCGGATAGAAGATGTCCTGCCCCCCCTCAGTTATTTGTGGTGTGTCTTGATGTCGCAAAAGTGAGTGGGTGGGAGTTGCAGTACTTGCTCTTCCATCCATAGATGCCGCGTGCTAGGCCTCACCGCACCCTACAGTGAGCGAGCTCACGTGTTGTTTTCACGTCCGC